CAGTGCAGCGTCCACCGCGGCTCTTTGCTCTCCACAAACCAAGGACACCTGCTGACCAGTCACCCAGCCCCCCTGGCTGCAGGGCACTGCACCCGAGCAAAAGGCAGCACCCACCCCGCCCCTCCCCACAGGTGCAAGTCCTCCCCCTGCGGGGGGAGGGGGGGGCGGAGACCCAGAAGGAACAGGACTCAGCAAAGTGGCTCGGCGGCCCCCTGCGGGCAGGTGTGGGGTGACCTTAGTCGCCAGGGAGCCTCAGCGCAGCACAGCCCCCCTCCCCGATGGCTGCTGGGAGGACCCACCCCCACAGCCTTCTCCCCACCCACTTCCTCAGCCTTCCCACTCCTGGGGGCGAGGGAGGGCCGTACTTTATAGGCCCCGGGACCCTCGAGCCCAGGAAGCCCAGCCACACACCCGGGGAGGCCCCTCTGAGCGCCCGCTCACTGCAGCAGCTGCTGGTTGCCAGGAAATCTCTAGGGCGGGGCTCTCGCCTGGGACAATCCTGCCCCCAGGAACAGTGGGCGACACCTGGGACATCTGTGGCCGTCACGACTGGAGGGCTGCTGGCATCGTGTGGGTGGGGCCCAGGACGCCCTCAGCCCCCACAGCGCCCTCAGAGAGCGATCCAAGCCCAATGTCAGTCAGCAGTGCCGAAAGGAAGAGAGCCGAGCCTAGAAAGTGTCTCAGCAGAAATTCCCAACAGACCTATCAGTGCAGCTGAAGGAAAAAGGCGGCGGCCCAGACTGGGGGCCAGGGGACTAGGAGGGTGGGCAGTGAGCGAGCAGAGCCGCAAGCCCCCCAACCACCCTCCCTGCTGGTGCGAAAGCAGAGACACCACCCTGCGCCCCCTCCCCCCCACCCCCCACGCCCGCCCAGTACTGTCAGGTCTCCGGCTAGGCGGGCTGACTGGGGGCCAGCGCAGCCTCACAGGTGGCACAGTAAAGGTTCTGTAAAGACGTCTGCCTCCCAGCAGGGCTCCTGACCACGTCTAGAACCAGCGAGAGAGCCTTCAGGTGGCTGCGTCAGGTGAACCACATCCCTGTCTCCCAGGGCAGCCCCCAGCTTTTCTGAAAGTCTGGGATTTCATTTCTAACCCAGAGGCACCCAGATGAACCTGCAGAGACTAGGCCCTTCCCAGGCCCTCAGCTGGGAAGCTGCTAGAGGCACTGCCTGACCGAGGGGTGCCGTCTACAGCCCCGTGACCACAGGCGGGCAGAAGGTTCTGCTGGGCCCACTCTCCGCCAGCCCGGCCACCCTGCCTACGCAGCGCCCAGCAGCCCGGTCTTGGGACCACAACAAGCAGAGACCCCCAATGACGGGCACAGCCACCGAGGAGCCCTGCAAGCAGTTGCCTGTGGAGACCACGTCCGCAGAGGGGAGTCACCCAGTCTCTCCAGACCCAAGACCAGGTGAAGGGTCAGCTCCAGGGAGGCTCACAACTTTCTTCAGAGTCTAAGATATCACAGCCCAGTGGAAGGCAGGTAACACATGTCACGTCCCTTCCAGCCTCTCAGACAGCAACTGCCCCCGCCCCCCCACCTCGGATCCTGCCATGGCCGGGGCCCCCCCGGGCACTACTCAGGGTCTGGCAGGAGGCTGTGAGCAGCGAGAAAAGGGGAGGCTCCTCGCCCACCCGCCAAGAACGCTCCTGGACTGGCGCCTCCGCAGTGCAGAGGGACCAATGGCCCCTGGGTGTCCACCAAGGCAGCGAGGGCCCTTGCCCCCACCCTCCGCTGCACACACTCTGCCCTCACTGGTCTGCACCACCACCCTCTCCGGTGAGGGACGCGCTCCTCCGTGTCATCACAGCTCTTCAGAGCCTCGGCGGGTATAACCCCAGAGCCGATCTCGCACCCCAGCTCTGCTCTGCTAGGTCGTTTGCCTTCCTTCTCCCGCCACCGGGAACTCATAGGAATAAACCAGCATTTAACTGTGGCTGTTGCTGAGCTTCCAGAAGGGAAAAGACCCATCCCAAGGGGGAAGCTCCCAGAAGGAGGCCTCCGGCTGCCCTCCAAGGTTGGGCAGAGCACGCGGGAGGCCTTCTGGAGGAGGTGACAGCAGGGCCAGGACCACGGTTTCCTTGGGAGCAGGAAGACACGGCTTCTGAGCAAAGGCTGTGCCGTCGCTCACCACTCTGTGACGGCGCCTCTGCCTTGCGTGGACCCCCATGCCACAGGGCCCTGCGTGAGCCCGGCCTGCACCCTGCAGGGGGAGACGCAAAGGCAGGCCAGCAGCCATGTGCAGGGGGAGGGGAGCGCCACCAGCGGGAGGAGGCCCACAGACGCCGCCACGCCCCCTCCCGCGTGGGCCAGGCGGGTGGGCGCCATGGGCACCAGGAGCATGGATGTGCGTGCTGGCCTCCGCGCTCAGCAGCTCAGGGAGGCGGCCCAGCACGGGACCCCAAACCTCCAAAGGGGGAGAGGGCTGACTCAAAACCGCCCCAGGTGGGGTCCTTCCACACCCACCAGGACATGGCTGGGGTGTCCCCTTCCCCAAAGGCCCACTGAATGCACTACACGCTAACGTCCCCAACCAGTCACCAGCCTGACTGCCATGTGCTGCAGACACCACGGCGCCCCTCGGGTGCAACGGGCCAGGGGACACGGACGCGGACCACAGCCCCAGCCAGCACGCCCGCACCAACCTGACCAATGCCACCAGGGGCCTGGAGGCTGACAGGGCCGGCACCCAGTGCCCTCAGGTCCCGCCTCTCCCACTCCTTCCCCAGCCCTCTGCCTGCCACCTGACCCATGGCCTTGATGACCTTCTAACTCCTCCTCGTAGGAGACGGGGCCCCAGCTGCTCAGCCCTGGGTTTCCAGGGCCCACCTGGGAAGAATCTGCCAAGATAGAGACCCCACCCGCTGCCCTGCACAGCCAGGACAAGGGACCCCGCTGCTCGAGAGGTGGCCTGGGGCAGCTCCATGGGGGCCGGGGGATGGGCGACAAAGCCAACCATGGGACAAGGTTACTGGACATCGCAGGAGAAATGCCACCTCCGTAAACATAGCTGTGAGGGAACCGGGCCCGTGGGGGCCCCAGACGTGTCCCAAGCACTTGCTCAGACCCACCTGTAAATCCCCAGTGGCACAGGTGACCCCTCTAGGTGTCTGGAACGCCTACTGACAGGCATGCTGGCTTCCCCAGAGCGGCGATGAGCAGATGGGAAGGCTTTCAACTTAAAAAAAAAAACCTCACCTACTTCCTCTTGCTACCCAAAGATAATTACTATGTAATTAAGAGGAAAAGGAGGAAAGTCAGCTGGAACCGGAAGCAGTGTTCAAAGAAGTCTGTCTTCACAGGGGCTCTGTCCTCCCAGAGCAGGGACACGCCCAGGGGCAGGTAATGAGACACTCATCCCCAATGGGCTCCAAGCAAATTAGAGGTAGTCAAAATCACACAACAAGCCCCTTGACCCATGAAGGTCCAACTGCCAACCTGAGGCAGAAAAAGCGAGCCCGGTCCCCCATGGCCACTGCGGAGCCTGTGGGGCTCTGACCACCGCTGGGGCAGGGCACACGGGTCCAGTCAGCTCCTCTCACCCCCCCCCCCAAGGCCTCCACGCAGGTCACGCCTCCACCAGCCCAATTCGGCACATGCAGCGGGCCCCCCAGGCCCTCAGTACTCAAGCACTTTCCAACTCTCAGAGGCAGGGCCAGCGATAAAACCCCAGCCGGGGGAACAGAGCACCTCAGGTGTGAGCACCCCCTGTGCACTGCTGGGGGTGCTGCAGCCAGTCCCCACCAATCAGCCTGCCCAGCCTAGGGGTCCCTTTCTGGGGGCACAATTTGGAGACAGGAGTGAAAAACAAAAACAAACTACCAGGGAAACCGCAAACTTCCCCCTTTAAAACCTGTGGGCCTGGCTCCCAATCTGTCCTTGTCACAGACACCACCTCCTTCAGTGACCAGATCAGGTCCCTGCGGACATCACCCCCTACACTGGAGCCTTTGTGCTCCCACTCATCTCTCACACCCACGAGGTACAGGGGCCCGCAGGGCGGGGAAACGCCTGAGCCTGGTCATGTCCTCCAGGGCAGCGACGGAGGACCCGCTCAGCCGGAGCCCCAGAAGATGGAGCCCCAGCAGATGGACGGTGTGCGCGCACCCCGCAGGCCCGGGTCCTCTGTGGAGGGCCTGGGAACAACGTGCTGGAGGCCTCGGGGGCCAGTGCCCACCGACGATGCCGTCCAGAGGCCAAGAGCCCCAAGCCTGCCTACGACGACAGCCCACAGCCCCTAACGTGAAAGCTTCCCGTAGAAAGTTGGGGCAGAAGGGGGACAGGGAGATCAGCGTGGCCACCGCCCCGGGCGCATAGACATCTCACCCCCTCCCTGATCCAAAGTGTTTCCGGAAAACAAAACCGGTGGCGAGGGCGGAAGGGGGAGGGCACAGCCACACCGAGGCAGCAGTTCCCAAGCGGTGGCGTCCTGCAACAGGTCCCCCTGAAAGAGACCCTCCTGCTGCGGGTCTCCAGCTGCAGCCCCTCCTCCGCCCCAGGGCTCCCCACCCCCAGCTCCTGCTCGTCCCTCAGGGCCTTCAAGACCACAAAGCCAGGAACGGGTGGATGGGCTGGGGCAGGGGTCCAGGGTGGAGGGTGGGGGACACGGGGACTAGAGTCAGGGGACAGTGGAGGACAGCAGGGCCCGCAGTCAGGGCACACCGGGAGGGGGCAGGTGAGGGGTCCGTGGGGCAGCAGGGTCGAGAGTCAAGGGCCTGTGGAGAACAGCGAGCTCTGGAGTCCGGGGTCGGTGAGGGCCGTGAGGTCCGCAGCACAGGCGTCAGCCGGAATGAGCAAGGCCTGAGCCCGGGAGAAAGGGCAAGGTCTGGAGCGAGGCGGCGGCGGGTCGAACGCGGGAGTCCACGGGCTGCGGGGGACGTGGGGCTGGAGTCCGGGCCCGGGGGTCGGGGGAGAACAGGGTCTGGAGTGAGAGGTCCGCGCGGTGGGGCGCGGCGGCCCGGGCGCGTGGCCGTGGCAGCGGCGAGGGCGCGCGCGCATCCTTACCTCGGGGCCTCCGCCGTGGCCGTGGCCGTGGCCGTGGCCGGCCGGGCAGCAGGCGGCCCGGGCTCCCTCAGCAGCGCGGCGCGGGCCCCCGCTCCGGGCCCCGCTCGCGCCGCGACTCCGGCTCCAGCGCCCGCTCGGGCCCCCGCTCCCGCACCGCCGCCGCCGCCGCTTCCGCCGCCGTCGGCCTCCGCATGTTGGCGCGGGCCGTCCCCGCCGCGCGGGCGCCCGGCTCGCCCCGGTCTCGCAGCGTCGCCCGCGGCCCGCGCTTACGCCCCGGCGTCGGGGGAGGGTCCGCACCCACTGCGCAGCCGTCGTCCGGCCCGGGGCGCGCGACGGCTCAGCGCGGGGCGGGGCTTCGCGGCCGCGGGCGCCGCCGCACGACGGCCGCCGCGCTTTGCGGCCGCTCCGGGACTGCCAGACCGCTGCCCGCGGGGGGGTTTCCCCGGAGGCGCGCGCCCCGCGGCGTGGGTGGGGGCAGGGGGAGCGCGCGGGCGCGCTGGGAAGGAGCCGGGCAGCGTCCACCTTCCCGGGGGCGGGGCTGCCTCCGCTCGCCCGGGGCCCGCCCGCCGTCGCCATGGCGACGCGTGGCCGGCCGCCCCGCCGCGCTTCTGTGACGTCACGGTCTCGCCACCTGACGTCACGGCCGGGCGGTGGCGCGGGGCGTGGCCGGACCGGGCCGGGCGGAGCGGGGACTCGGTGGGGCGGCGTCCGCGAGGCGCAGCTGAGGGCCGGTCGGGGCGGGGATGAGGGAGCGCTTCCCGGGCCGCCGGCCGCACGCGGGGCAGTGGAAACTCGGGGGGCGGGGTCAGGTCCTCCTGATCGGGCGCGGCCTGCAGGGCCTCCCCCGGGATCCCAGGGTGGGTGCTGCAGGGCCGCGGGCGCAGCTTTCCCGGGGGTCCCCGGCCCTGCGGGGGTTCGGGCAGTGAATACTAGGCGCGGCCCTTCACGGCGTCTTGAGAGCGGCGTGGGGCGGGCGCAGCACCCCGGAAGAAAGATGGGATCAGACGGAAGAGTGCCGCCCTGCTGGTGGTGCCCGGACGGGGTGCAGAGCAAACAGGCTGGGAAGGCCCGGTGCCATGTGGGGGCGGGGGGCAGGCCAAGCGCTTGCAGAGGCTGGCGTTAGTGACCCGGGACTCCAGCCACCTCCGTTCCACCTCGGTGGGTACTTTCTAATTCATCAACTTGTTTCCAACTTACCTCTCTTTTTTTTTAATGTTTTATTTATTTCTAGGAGAGAAAGAGAGAGAGAGACAGCGTGAGCAGGGGAGGGTCAGAGAGAGAGGGAGACACAGACTCCGAAACAGGCTCCAGGCTCCGAGCTGGCTGTCAGCACAGAGCCCGACGCGGGGCTCGAACCCACGAACCGCGAGATCATGACCCAAGCGAAAGTCGGACGCTCAACCGACTAAGCCACCCAGGCGCCCCAACCAACTTATCTCTTAATTCAGGCAAAAGAGCCTGCAGGGAACCATCCCCTCCCTGATGGGAACCAAAATTTACCCCCACAAGCAAGAGGGACTGTCCTCCAACAAGACCCCACTCATGATTGACCCCGGGACAGTGATTAGCTCGACCTCCCTGCCCACCAGCTCTGCTCGTACCCACTGACCTTTGTCCCACAGTTTCCTTATATAAACCTGGTAGTGTTTTCGTCACTTGGGACATGGTCTTGAGACGCTAGTCCGCTGTCTTCCGTCTTCCCGGCGGTGGCCTCACTGAAATAAATTTCTCATGTTACCACCACTCGGTTTCTCTGCCTTTGGATTTTGTCGGCAGCGAATGGCTGGCCCTGGTCTGTTTGGGACCCCGGGGTCTGAGCCACGTTGGGGCTGTCCCTTCTCACTGCGTCCTGACCCTTTCCATGCAGTAGGTTTGTTTAAAATCAGCCTCCTCATAGTCGATTAAGCATCCGACTTTCGCTTAGGTCATGATCTCACGGTTCGTGGGTTCGAGCCCCGCGTCGGGCTCTGTGCTGACTGCCAGCTCAGAGCCTGGAGCCTGTTTCGGAGTCTGTGACTCCCTCTCTCTCTGACCCTCCCCTGCTCACGCTGTCTCTCTCTCTCTCTCTCCTAGAAATAAATAAAACATTAAAAAATAATAATAATAAAATAAAATAAAATCAGCCTCCTCTAAATACAGTGCTCAATGGATTACTAGTAAAAAGAGAATGAAAAGAGAGAAAGAAAGGAAAAATGTATCTCGCGCACCAGCCAGGCCAGGCCAGGGACCACTTCCGCTCTGCTCACTGCTGTGTCGGTGCACCGGGTAGGTACCCAGTCTGTGCATGATCACTGTGTGTGGCAAATAAATGACTAAATGAGTGAATGAATGAACTGCACGGCCCTCCCAGATTCTGGAGAACTCAGGGGTTTGTTTCCCTGGACTTCTTGGCCTCATCTCCCCTCTCCTCTCTTAGGAAAATCTGCTCTCTGTGCTCAGCTCCCAGGGAGTCAGGAGACATGGTGACCTCTCCTCCAGAGGTATATCGGCCTTAACCCTAAGCTCCAGCCTCGCCCCTGTAAAAAGTGGCGTGGCTATGCAGCTGAAAGAACGTGAAAAGTGAGGTCAAGTCTGGGGTTGTGCCAGTAAAAGGCTGTGTGACTGTGCGCAGGTCACCCACCTCTCTGGTTCTCCACATTCTCGTCTGCAAGTTAGGACTAACCTTGGCCTCCTCAGGTATATTATGGGAATCATGAATAAAGAATGGCCAGCACAGGACCTTCTGCCTCAAATGAACATCTCCCTCATCGCTCAGAGTCTCCGAAAAACCCAATGGCCTCTGTGCTTCCTTATTTTTGACCCACTTCAAATGCGGTCCCCATGTCCCCGCCCCCTTTTAGCTTTGATCATGGGGACACCGTTTGGAAAGCTGGGGTGGGAAACGGCCCCGTGGGAGCTCTCAGTACAATAAGAACATTGTAAAGAGGGTGAGCTGCTCTCTCCATTGCCCATCCCCCGACCCGGGAAAGCCAAACAAAACCCCAGCCTCCCGATAAATCCCGAACAGCTGTGGGTTTCAGGGAGGCGACCCCTTCGGTTCCCCACCCTTACCAGAGGCAGGCCCACCTCTCTCCCTGTCCTCGGAGAGGCCCCAGCCGAGGAACAGGCCTGCATCCTGGGGCCCAGCAACAGCGTCCAGGCACAAGCAGGCGCCGGGGGTCACTTCTGCCAAACTGAATTGGCTTTTCGCTCCCTGCAGCCAGGCCTTTCCCTGCGGGGCAGGGATGCGGGCGTGCACATTCCTGTTTCCGAGATGTGGAAACTGAGGTTTACAAAGAAGTGATTTGCCCACTGTCCCCTGGCTTCAAACGTGCGACGCTGGTACCCTCCACTGGTGGGTAACGCCGGCCCACGCTGTTCTACCTCCAGGTCCCCATCCCCGATATGTGGGGGAGGGGGTCACGAAGCAGCGGCCCCCACTCCCAGTGGCTATGGTTGAAGAGAGCATTCAACCCAAGGTGAGGCCTGGTGCCACACGCTCAGTCCTCTCTGGATGACGTGAGCTGTGGAGGGGAAACCGAGGCCAGAAGGCACGTGAGAGGCAGTGAGGGGTAGCCAGTGAGAAGAAAGCCGGGAGTTACTGGGAGAGGGTGCAGGAGCTCCGGGCTGGAACGAGGTCGGGGTCTCCCATCCTCTGAGAAGGGACCCCAGCAACCAGGGCTGGGCATGTGATCACCCAGCCACCTCTGATTGGCCCAGAGCGAGCCAATAAGATCCTCCTCTGGGATTGCTGGGCGGGAGGTACCCCCTACCTGCTTGTGTTAAATGTGACCCAGACAGTGGTCTTCTGACCTCTGTTGGCTTCGCAGACGTCTGATTCCCGCACCAAAGGCGAGCCAAGTGCCCAGCGCGCAGCAGCCTCCTCGGACCTGAGATTCCTGTGCTAAAACCCTGAAGGTCCCAGCAAACCAGGACGGCCTTGTCACCTGAGCAGGGGACACGCAATGCGCTGCTTGTCACGACAGATCCAGATGAGGAGCTCCTCCACCCCACTCCCAGGGGGCGAGGTAGAGGGCTGGATAGTGTCCCCTCCAAATTCACGTCCACCTGGAACCTCAGAGTGGGACTTTATTTGGAAATAGGGTCCTTTGTCTTTGCAGAGGTGATTACATAAGGGTGAGGCCATGCTGGATCAGGGTGGGCCATGAGTCAACAGCTGGGGCCTTTTTAGGCCACGGTCAAGAGCAGACCTGGGAGGCACGCAGCCACACACCAAGGCACCCTCGGAGCCCCTGAAGCTGCGAGTCCCCCCCCACCCCCCCGGCAGCCTCCGCAGGGAGCGCAAGCCCTGCAGCACCTTGACTTCAGACTTCGGGGCTCCAGAATTTAGGACAAATCGTCGTTTCAAGCCACCCAGTTTGTGGTACTTGAAACAGCAGCCCCAGAATCTCCTAAAAAAGCGGAGCCGGCCACTGTTTTGGGATGAATTGTGGTTCCCCAAAGGCTGTGATGAAATTCCAAGTCCTGAACCGTCCAAGATCAAGCTTCACAGGGCTGTTCCTGCTGACAGAGTCTGTCCCGGCTCTCCCAGCGCCACCGGGCGTCACTGTAGCCTTGGCCTGTGGAAGCGTCACCCCTTCAGCCCCATCTTCAGGGGGTCTGTCTGTGTCCCAATGTCCACTTTTTACAGACACCTGACTTACTGGATTAGGGCCACCCTCATCCAGTGTGGCCTCACTTTAACTTGAAAAATTACTCCTTCAGTGACCTATTTCCAAAGAAGGTCACCTTCTGTGGTCCTGGGGGTTAGGACTTCCAACATATAAATGGAAGGATACTTAATTCAGCTCGGAACAAAACAAGTGAATGCACACGCATGCACACAGTTACGCACACGCGGGCCAGCACCCACCACGCCCCACCTGAGGGTATGGTCAGGGCCCTCCAACCCCCAAACACGGACAACCTGAGACAGGCTCAGTGCCTTCCAAAGCATCAGAGGGACGGGGCCCCGACTGCCCGCAGCCTGGCCGCCCTGCCGGCTCCTGCTCTCTTGACCCCCCCACATAAAGCTCTGCCCCCCAGTCTTTACGTTGGGCCCAAACAGGTCACAACGTACTGAACGCAGCAGCTGACAGAACAGAGCTGCCCGCTCTGCAAAAACAAAAAAAATACGACTCGTTCCTTTTTCTAAAAAACATTATTTTTTTAATCTTAGAATGTAATGAACAGATTTTTAAATGACATTAACAAATGTTAAATTTTGTCTTACATTCTACTGTTAGTATTTAACTGGGAGAGGCAGGAAAGACCTGTCCCTGGGGCTGGCTGAGGGGACACCTTGCTCTGGGATGGTCTGGCCCCCGGGATTTGAGAGCACGGAGCCCCGCCGCCGCCCCATCATCCCCGCCAGGGACCTTTCCGCCTGCCCCACCTGGATCGCAGGCTCTGCCCTCCAGATGGAAGGACACACCCCTGTGCTTTAAGCCCCCAGATCATGATTTCCTGCAGCGGCCACCCAGGCAAACTGTTCCCTTTGCGACCCCACCCTCAGCCTCTGTCCTTACAGGTCACCTGGAGGCAGAGGAGGCGTACATTCCTTTCTCCAGGCCTGGGCTTCCATCTCCTAGGCAGTTACCCCCACGCCCCTGTGTCACCAACGCCATCTCCCGCCCAGCCCAGGAACACCTGTGGTCTGTCAAGGCACATCCACACAATCCGTGTCCCACACGTCCATGGGAACACCCCGCATCACGGCGCACCCCAACTCTTCGATGTTTCATTTCCCTCGTATCTGCTGGGTGCCATCCTGCTGCAGCCAAAACACTGATCCTCAGGACTCGGGAGGGCGCAGCCCAGGAGGCCTCACAGGGCTGCCCCTGCCCCGGGCTCTCCCGGCGTCACTGGGGGACCGCTGGCCATCGGCCCTCCTTGGCCTGTGGAAGTGTCACCCATCATGGCCCCATCTTCATAGGGCTTCTCCCGGCCTGTGTCCCCAAGGCCCCAAGGACACCAGTCATTGCTTCAGAGCCCACCTTACTCCAGCGTGACCTCCCCTTAACTGCAACAACGCTATTCCCAAATAACGTCCCATTCTGAGCTCTGAGGGTCAGGACCTCAACATATGGATTTGGGGGGGGGGACACAACCACCCATGCCACCTGCGTGGGGCTGTCTGGTTTGTCTGTGGGTCTCGTTTCCTTCCCCTGGTGGCAAAGCGTCCTGTGGAAGACTCGCATCCTCCCTCCCATGTCCACGCGGGACGTCCACCCTGCAGCCGAGAGGCCCCCATGCTGAGCCCTGGGGAGGCCCCTCCAGCCGGGTGTCTGGGAGACTCAACTGTTTTCATTCCAGCCGCTTCTACATTTACTTTTCCTTCGTGCCAAGTGATGCTGGTTAATTTTCTACAAACTTTCTTTCTCAAATGAAAACAGTTGAGCCCCCCTCAAAAAAATTTAAAAGAGAAAAAAAAAAAGAAAAAAGTTGAGCCCCTGGGGGGCTCAAGCAGTTAAGTGTGTCTGACTCTTGACGATTTCGGCTCAGGTCACGATCCCAGGTCGTAGATCAAGCCCTGCACACGTGGGCAGTGCGCAGAGTGTGGAGCCTGCTTGGGATTCTATCACACACACGCCCCGCCCCCTCTCTCTCAAAATTAGAAAATAATAAAACCAAACCAAAAAAAAAAAAAACAGTTGAGCATATAAAAACAAGTTGATTTAAAAGGACAGGAGGGAAGCGCCCCATGGTGGTCGGTGGGCAGGGCTGAGGGGTGCCTGCGTGGGGCCGGGTCCACGGGGAGGGTGCGCGGGGGCGACAGGCCACCAGGGCCATGTGCCAGGCAGCCCAACATGACGCCAGCCACCAACGGCCTGGCAGGGGCTCTGCGATGCGCGGAGGATGGCAGTGTTAGTTCCCAGGATGCTCCGGCCTAACGGAACCCACCACGATGTAATGACGGTGCCCAGTGCCGCAACGCACGGGGTGCGCGGTGGGCGAACCCAGGCGCGTGGGCCTCCAGCACCCGCTACCGCCGGTCAGCGGCGGTCAGGAGGGACCCAGCCCCACGGTTAGTGCAGTGCATGCCTCTCACAGAGGCTGAACTGGGGACTTGGTTAAGGGGCCGCTGGGAGGCCCAATCCAGGGTCTTCATCCCAGAGGCCATGACATTTGGGCACCCAGACCCGGATGCCTTCTCAGGCACCGGGGCCACCTCTGGGCACCGCATGGTGTTTAGCGCAAGGAGCAGAAGCGAGCAAACGACGGAGCGAGCGTGGAGAACAAGGCTGGACGTCCCAGGGCCGGTGAGGCAGTGTGCGACCGAGAGGGTCCCTGTTCTCTCCCCCCCACCCCCCACCTCCGAGGCAGCCAACTGGGCAGGGGCGGCACACGGGGTGCCAGTAAGGGCATCCCTTCAGAGGGCGCTGTGCAGAGCCCCCTGGGACATCCGGGTCCTCGGTCTCAGGGAGCTAGAGAAGAGCGACGTCTTGTTCAGATTCCTCACTAAGGCACAGATTTGTCACATCTTCTGTCCTTCGAAAAGGCCGTTCTCCTGAGAAACTCCACCTCCCGCGTCCACAGCTGGAGCAACGGGCCGTGCGGTCGCGGTCCCAGGCTCCGGGCAGCCAGCAGGCGGGCGCCCCCCACCGGGAGCCACGTTCCTCAGCTCGTACACGGAGGGGAGCCGCAGCCGCCCATCCTGCCCCAGGGCTCTGCCCCAGGTTTCAGGTCTCAGAGGTCTGTCTGCTCCGGGTTCCCAGGGGGACATGCGGGCAGGAAGGCTGGAGCTGAGCAGGCCAACGGCCCCAGCGCGGAGCGCACGGGGCAGACGGACAGGGACGTCCAGACCGTGGTGCCCAGCTGGCTAATGCCCAGTGTGGACGACCCACAGGCTTGTCCACGAGGGCCCTCTGGGTGCAGGTGGGCAGGGACTTAGAAGACTGAGCCGCACGCTGAGCCGGCCAGGGGCGAAGGGAGAAGCGGGTGGACGCGCCGACAGCCCTGGAAGGGGGGCGCGGGGTCGGCCCCCCCGAGACCTCGACAGGGGAGGGCGTGGACGTCACAGGGAGCGGACGGGACGCGTAGCCCGGGGACATCCTTCTGCCGGGCGGCAGAGGCCGGACTTCCACTCCCGGAGGTGCGATGAACACGAGGGTGGGCCCCACACCCGGGCCGGGGGAGGGGAGGGGCGGCGGGGGCCGGCGGGCCCCTCTATGGCCACTGGCTGCCAGTGGCCGGGTAGCTGGGCACGGTGGGGTACTCGGGCAGGCTATTCCCCGAGAAGTTGTTGTACTGAGCCTCCCGAGAAGGCGGGTTCCGCCAAGTGCCCGCGTTCCACTCTGTCTGCGCCTTCTGGAAACTTCCGCCGGCCCCCCGGTAGATCCTGTGCACCTGCAGGGAAGGAGGGTGGGAAACCAAACTAAGCTTGTACGCGATCAAGAGACCCCATGTTCAAGACCGTCCATTTCTTACGTGAATTCCAAAATGACAGAACGGTCCTTGGGGAAACTTTGGAAAATGCAGCGAAGCCGAGGTTCTGTCCTGACTTCAGCTGCCTCTGGAGAGCCCGTGCACTCGGCCACAAGCACTTCTTTCCAGGCAGGGGGCTGTCCTGCCCAGCCTCTCCCTGGGGACACCCGCCGGACACCCCCCATGGGCTCCGCGAGAGGCTCACGGCCATCTCTGGGCATGAGCGGTGGCTTCCCGGGCAGAGACCCCCAGGAAGGACGAGCCCCCCACTGCCCAGCAGGCCTGTGCTGACCGGCCCCCACTGCACCTCTGGGAACACGGGGCCGTACTGGACACTCTAGAGGGCCTGGAAAATTCAGGACAACTGGCATTTTAGGGGCAACTGGGTGGCTCAGTCGGTTAAGCGTCTGACTTCGGCTCAGGTCATGATCTCACAGTTGGTGGGTTCGAGCCCCACGTCAGGCTCTGTGCTAACAGCTCAGAGCCTGGAGCTGCTTCAGATTCTGTGTCTCCCTCTCTCTCTGACCCTCCCCTGCTCATGCTGTCTCTCTCAGAATTAAATAAAACATTAAAAACGTTAAAAAAAACTGGCATTTTAACTCCATGCTCTTGATGTTTAGTGAAGCTGAATGCTTTTCTCGTTTCTCACTGGAATCTGCCATCTTCCACAAAACTATTTAATATTCATTAAATACGTTTCTCTTCTTGGCAGCAGTGGGGGGGGGGGGGCAAGCCAGAGCCTGCACGACAGGCCTGACGCCTCCCTCCCCAGAGGCCGGCTCACCAGGCTGGCCCGCAGCGGCGGCGTCTGGAACTGGACTCCGGGGCGCCTGCCACCCTTGCCGGCCGGGGGCCCGTGTCCCAGAGCTGTCCGTGCAGCCACGAGGTTCGTGCTGAGGACCCGCTCCCCTCCTGGGGTCTGGGGTCTCCACCCGAGCCAGGCAGAGGGGCTGCTGAGCGACCCCCGGTGGGAACCTGGGCGCTGGGTCTCTACGCCCCCCTGGAGACCACCCCTCACACGCGGTCACGTGTCGTTTTGGGGGGAATCAGGTGTGTCCTGAGGGACACTCTGGGAGAGGATCCTGGAAGCTTGGCCTGGAGGCCCCACCCCCCATGCCTTTGCCCTGAGATCATTTTGCCTCCTTTCTCTGTATCCACCATGGCTTGGGGAGACTGCTGAGCCCTGGGGGGGGAGGGGGCTCCTTTCTCTCAGCCGTTATCTTTTCTTTCAGGCCCTGGAGCTCTCTTCAATTTGCATTTACTTTTTTTTGTTTGTTTGTTAACTTTTGTTATTTATTTCTGAGAAAGAGAGAGAGACAGAGACAGAGCGTGAGCAGGGGAGGGTTAGAGAGAGAGGGAGACACAGAATCCGAAACAGGCTCCAGGCTCCGAGCTGTCAGCACAGAGCCCGACATGGGGTCGAATCCACGAACTGTGAGATCATGACCTGAGCTGAAGTCGGACGCCAAGCCAACTGAGCCCCCAGGCGCCCCACAATTTGTATTCACTTTCTGCTCTGTGACGTCCTGGCTGGAAAGTCACCTCCCGTGCGGGCCTCGTCCGGAACCACACTTAGGCTTCTTCACTTGTGCATGTGCACACACTCGGGTTTCTGCCAGCCCCTCCCTGCCCTCAGGCTGTCCGCAGCTGAAGGCGTTTGGGGTGCAGATGGGGGGGAGTGGAGCGATCCTTGCGTCTGCCCAGCCAGGAGCCCTGCTCGAACACCCAGAATCACGTGGCAAAACACTCACAACACTCAGCCCAGCGCTGGAGTGACACCGCACCGCTTCCCCTTCCCGTGGGGACGCCGCACGTCCCCGTGCCCCGGCCTGTGACTGCGCCTGCAGGAGGCGGCAGCTTCCGCGGCACCGAGAGCGGCACGGAGCCGGCGCCCCAGCCCCGCTCAGCCGGCAGGTATCGGAGATGGGGCGGTGCGGTGGCTGCCCCCAGTGTTTCGTTTCAGTGATTTTTACTGCACGTGACTTTAACCACAAATGGGAAGAAATGTCCAGTGGTGGCCGAATCAGGCAACGTGGAGCACCCCCTGTGACACGGAAGTGCGCAGAGGGAGGAGGGCACTGGCGGGTGGGTGCCGTCGTCGTCAACCCAGCTGCGGTTTCCTTAAGCCTGACTCAGTGGATCAGCTAGTCACAGCCATCAGGTCTCTCACCCCTGGACCGAGGAGGATCCGAGTCCCCAGGGCCTGGACGATCAGGTGACCAGATGCACGGGAAGATGCTAAGGTCCTGGGACCCAGAGGACTCACCTTTATGATGACAATGGCCATCGTGGCAGCTGACACGGAGAACATGATGGCTGGAAGCAGCATGACCACGGCGGCCCCAACACTGGTTTGGAAGAACCCGATTGCCGCCAGCCAACCACTGCAAGGAGCAAGAGAGAGCAGCATGGGTGCCGGCACTTCCGCCAAACAAGGGCCCAGCATCCTTCATACGTAAAGAGCTCCAACAAATCAACAACAATAAAAACGACTGGCAGAGAAACAGGCTTTTTGTGCGGGGACGTGCAGGGGCCAATGCACACATGAATGATGATGCCCAAAGCCAGCAGTGAGGGGTGCAAACTAAAACGCAGGCACACGTAGTGCACGTGAGGGGTCGAGAGGAGGAATGCACCGGTGGGAGCGTGTCCCTTTGCAGGGGCAATGACCGTGACCTTCAAGAGCCCCCAAGTGCTCATTTCCTGCACCCTGGCTGTCCTCCTCTGAGAATTCATGCCACAGCAATAACTTAAAAGAACGAAAAGCTGGGAATAACCCAAATGCTCAGCGGCTGGAACTGGCACAAACGCTTAGTGTGCACAGCCGCACGACCGAATGCTGAGGAGACGTTAACGGAAACAGAAGGAAAAGAACATCGAAGAGAGGTCAGGGCAACAAGACGGCAAGACCCATTCTGGCCACTGCACACACGCAAAGTGGAATGAGCGCCCACACCTGCCTCTGGGGGGTGAGGCAGAAGTAACTATTCTTGAGATTTTACCTTATTACCTTACTGACTTTTTTTTGTAAGTATGCTCCATGCCCCCTGTGGGGCTTGAACTCACGACCCTGAGATCAAGAGTTGAGGATCCTCTACCAGCTGAGCCAGTCAGGCACCCTGAGATTTTTGTTTTTAAGTAGCTTCCAACTGCTTAAACCCAAGACCAACACAAGGCCTGAACGCACAACCCCGGGGTGAGTTCAGGGGTCAGACGCTTAACTGAGCCATCCAGGTGCCCTTGAGATTTTATTTTTCTAAACAGGTAATAAATACATTTGGTTCCAGATTCTAGGAACTTAAAAGAACATATAACACCCAGGAGGTTGACCGCGCTTCACCACTGTTCCTGGAGCCTGCGCGAGGCCACAGCCCCCGCGAGTCGCGCCGCCCTGCACTGCGGGAGCAGCACCCGCGAGACGCGGAAGGCAGGCCACCCAGCGCGCACAGGCGGAGCCCCACTCTCCCGAGGCGGCCGCGTCTGCTCCCGCCTTCGTAGCAGCCCCCGGCCTTTCCTGCGAGCGCATTTGGGGAGGCGCCACGCTCTCACCGAAAGGGAAGCTGTGTGTCCTCCTCACCCAAGTGCGTGAAGTGGGTGCAGTCAGAGGACCCCCCCTGGGCCCGCAGGCTCGTTCTGTGCTGGGTGCCGGGGGCCTGAGAATGACCCTGGCCTTGGGGACAGACTTCCTGCCTGTTCCCACTCAGCCTGGGGGAGGCGGAGAAACCACGGGTGGGGGCCGCGCCTGGGTGGTTCGGTCGGTGGAGCTTCGACTCAATTTCGGCTCAGGTCGTGATCCCAGGGTTGCCAGATCAGGCCCGACGTGGAGCTACGTGCTGGGTGCGGAGCCTGCTTGAAGTCCTCTCCTCCCTCTGCTTCCCCCACCAAAATAAAATTTAAAAATTTTTTGAACTTTAAAAAAATTTAAAAAAAAAACACTGGGGAGGGGAACCTTGGCCAAGTGTTCAGGCCGAGGGAGAGGAGGGTTGGACCCCATAGCAGGTGTGAGCACAGCCGGTCTGAGCACAGGCATGTGTGAGCCCTGATAGGTGTGAGCACGGATAGGTGTGAGCACAGATAGGTGTGAGTGCAGCAGGTGTGAGTGCAGACAGGTGTGAGTGCAGACAGGTGTGAGCACAGACAGGTGTGAGTGCACAGGCAGCCGGAGGGCTCAGGCGGGTGCCACGGGCCGGAGCTCCTGGGAGGGGAGAAGTGCTGGCTCCACTGGGGGTGTCACTTTGGGGACGAATATTCTCCCACCTCATCTGGGGCGCTGGCAGGAGGGGCAGGCGGGCGAGGCCCAGCCTGAGGACCGTGGTCCCCGGGGACGGTGAACGCACCCCCGGGCTGAACACAGGACTGGGGGCCTGCTCCGTGGCGCTGGCTCCCCAGCCAGCCGGGCAGTGAGGAGGGGCTCATTCACACCCCAGATGACCGCACTCGGGTCTAGGGACAGCAGGGGACCAACCGGCGGAGCGCCAGAGCCTGCTGCACGCAACCGGGCGCTGGGGGCAGGGAGCTGGAGGGCGGGAGCCAGGGAGGAGATGAGGGGTGCCGGGCGCTCCCCCAGAGCTGCTCAGCTCGCGGGGCCGGAACCAGGGGGAGGACAAGGCATGTGGAAGAGCGGTGTAGACGCGAGACCCAGGGAGCGTGGCAGCCGGGCACTCCCGAGACAGAGGCCCGTGTCACAGCAGCACTGAGACACCCAGTGCCCGTCACTAGAGGACAGAACCAGTGTCCACCGCGCACGCGCACGTCCCTCGGCCGCGAGCAGGAGCGTGGCACCCACACCCGCCGCCCCGCGGAAGACCCCGAACACACGATGCTCAGGGCGGGAACCAGACACAGGAGGCCACGCGGGTGTAAGTCCACGTGCGTGACGCGTCCAGAACAGGCTCCTCCCCGGGCGGGAAGGGGGCTCGTGGGGGCCGGGGGAGAAATGGGCGTGATGGCTAGTGGGGGCAAGTTGCTTTTGGGGCAATAGAACATTCTGGAACTAAATGGGGTGATGGCTGTACCACTCTGAATGTACTCTAACCACTAAATTGTTCACTTTAAAAGAGTGAATTTCTAGTCTGTGATGCGTGCTTCACTAAAGCCATTATTCTAAAAACAACCTGGGACTACAGGACAATCAGGCCCGTTTCTTCAATGAGTCGATCAGAAAAACGGGAGGAGTGCGAAGCGCGAAGACTGGGGACAGCCTGAGACGGAAACCGACCCGTGGAGACGGGCAGGCTTTATCTGGGGTCTGATCCGGACAAACTGCTAAAGCAAAATCTAATTAAATGCCTTCTGGAATCCTGAACAAGAGGGTGTTCGTGGAAACCTGCGGAAATCCAAACAGGGCCCGCGGCTGGGCACCAGTGCTGTGCCCAAGGCGCGTCACATGCCCCCGGGAGCACACGGCCACGCGCTCTCCTGTCTCTGCACCTTTCCGTAAACCTCAAAGCAGCCTGACATAAAGCACCCTATTTAGGGGGCGCCTGGGTGGCTCAGCCACTGGAGCATGCGAGTCTTGGATCTCAGGGTTGTGAGTTCAAGCCCCACACTGGCCACAGAGATCACTTTAAAAATAAATAAAATTGGGGCACCTGGGGGGCTCCATCAGCTGAGTGTCAGACTGCGGCTCAGGTCACGACTTCATGGTTCCTTGGCTCAAGCCCTGCGTCGGGCTCTGTGCTGACAGCTCGGAGCCTGGAGCTGCTTCGGATTCTGTGTCTCCCTCTCTCTCTGACCCTCCCCTGCTCACGCTGTTTCCCTCTCTCCCTCACAAGTAAATAAAACATTAAAAAATTTAAAAAAAAAAAAAAGAACGAATGAATCTAAGCGAGGAGGCGGCATCGGGCGTTAAGGCTGGTTTCCGAGGCACGAAGCAGCGTCACAGGCTCGCACGCGCGACACAGGTATAGGACACCCGCACATCCTAAACACTCCTTTCCTTCACGGGGTCACAGGGAAGCGTGTGCAGGACGACACGCGTGTGGAGAGCGACAGACCCACAGGGCACAGGCTGCGCAGTGTGGATGGCACCCGAGAGCAGCCTCCGGGGACGCGCCTGACGCTCTCCATGAAACGACCCGTGGCTACTCTGTGGCCCACTTGGAAGGAAGGTCACAGACAGGGACTGGCCCGGGGCCGCTGGGAACCAGGAGGACGGGGAGACCCTGGGCTGGGCTTCGCGAGGGGAGTGCAGTTTGGCAGAGCAGCACCTTCGTGTCCCAATTCCCTGCTTGGAGCCCCGAGGCCAAGGGGCCTGGAATTGGGGGGGGGCTGGCAGCACCTGGCGGAGCCCTAAGGTCAAGAGGCCCATGGCTGCGGGGGAGGGGGTCTGGCAGCACCCGGCGGTCCACCTGCAGGAACGTTCAAAGAAACCAAAGCAAGGGGCGCCGGGGTGGCCCAGTCGGTTAAGCGTCCGACTTGGGCTCAGGTCGTGATCTCACAGTTCGTGGGGTCGAGCCCCGCATTGGGCTCTGTGTGGACAGCTCAGAACCTGGAGCCTATTTCAGATTCCGTGTCTCTCTCTCTGCCCCTCCCTCACTACCGGTCTGTCTCTGTCTCAAAAATAATCTTTAAAAAATTATAAAAAAAAAAAAGAAGAAGCCGGAGCAGAGGGTGCCCCGTACACTCGGGAAAATGAAGGGGCCCAGAGGCCCACTGCCACCCCCCCCCGCCTTGTGCTGGCCCCGGGACCTAGCGACAGAACAGCAGCGCCGAGGAGCTGCGAGAGAGCAGATGGGCCTGTGGCCCGACCGCAGGTGCAGCGTCCCCTCCCCGTCGTCCCCTAGTTTTTCAGAGCAGCTCTGCCCAAGCTCCCCAGCTGGCTGGTCACCTGTCCCCTGCCATCTGGCCCGCACTCGAGGAGGGAAGGGACGCTCCCGAAGCCCCCTTTCTGCAAGCCGACCCCAGAGGAAGGTGCACACCGTGGCAGCCAGTGAGGAGAACGGTGTGGGGTGGCACCAGGCAGAAAAGAGCCCGCACGACGGGCCTGACGCCTCCCTCCCCAGAGGCCGGCTCACCAGGCTGGCCTGCGGCGGCGGCGTCTGGAACTGGACTCCAGGGCGCCCACCACCCTCGCCGGCCAGGGGCCCGTGTCCCAGAGCTGTCCGTGCAGCCACGAGGTTCGTGCTGAGGACCCGCTCCCCTCCTGGGGTCTGGGGTCTCCACCCGAGCCGGGCAGAGGGGCTGCTGAGCGACCCCCGGTGGGAACCTGGGCGCTGGGTCTCTACGCCCCCCTGGAGGCCACCCCTCACACGCGGTCATGTATTGTTTGAGGGAATTAAGAGGATTCTGGAAACTTGGCCTGGGGTCCCCACCCCCACCCCCATCCCTTTGCCCTGAGCTCAATTAACTCCCTGTTCTTTCTCTGCATAAACCTTGGCCTTGGGAACGACTGTCTGCTAAACCCTGGGGGTCCTCCGGCACACCCCTGCCCCGGGGCCCCAAGCCAGCCCCCCACTGGCCCTCTAGGCCCAGATCTGAGAGGCATCGGGTCTACGCAGAGCTCATCCACCCACCAGGTGAAGACCCGGGGGAGGCCATCTTGGAGACGGTCCCAGGTGAGAAAAGGAGACTTACAGCCTCTGTCAAGGGCGCGGAAGACCCGGGAGGGACGGCAACAGGCTGGAGCCCAGAGCAGGCTCAGGAGGCCACGAACCGCACCCGGGGCCTCAAGGAACGAGAGAGCACACGTCTGATGTACAGGGACCAGGACAGAGCCCCGTGGCCCTCCCAGGGGACAGAGGAACAAGTGACAGGACTGAAGCGCGGGAGGAAGAGCCGGAGACACAGCAGGGGCCACAGCGTGTGACACCCACCCACGGGGGATGAGCTCCCGACACCGAGATGCCAACCGAGAGGCCACGTGAGCACACACACCGGGACGCGCAAGAGCGCATGGCGCGTGACGTCACAGCACCGACGCAGCCGAGCACACGCGGAAGCTGCAGTTCTCGTCTCAGGACGCTCAGTGCCACGGACAGGACCTGGGGGCGCCCACGTCCTCATCCTGGGACTGTCCCCTCACGCAGCGGGGACCTTATCAAGGGCCCTGAGGTGGGGGTGACCTGAGTGTCTGCGGAGGCCCAGTGTTCTCACGCAAGGGAGGGAGAGAGACGGGCGGACCCCGCGCTGCTGGCTGTGAGGGTGGAGGAGGGGCCACGGGCCAGGATAGGGCGCCTTGGAAGCCGGAAAAGGGCGGAAACAGGGGTCCTGCGTCCCAGGGGTACCGGCCCTGCCCTTGCCTGGGTGTCAGCCCCGGGAGGCCCGGGTCACATCTCAGCGCCCAGAACCGTGAGACAACCTCCTTCAGGTCACGTCACCGAGTGTGCCGCGATTCACCCCAGCAGCCGTGGGACCGGTGCGGAGCCCTCGGCACACAGAAAGTGGCGCTCTGTCTGGCTGTGCCCGGAGCGCTGCGGGGACATACCCACAGGCCACGCTTCGGCATCCGGGGGGCCTGCGAGCACGGCTGCTCACGACAGCAAGGGCACACTCGAGTGCACATACGTCACACCCACGCGCTACGGCTTGGGCACCTGGCTCACCATGCGCCCCATCCTGAGAGGCCAATCGCCTGGATGACGGTCAGGACGAACTGGGCTCCGAAGATGAAGAAGAACGCCATGAAGTTGAAGGAGCTGTCAGCTCTGCAGAGGGAGAGAGCAGCCGTCAGCACGCACGGCCAGCAAGGGGACCGGCCGCCTCCCCCAGTCAGCCCGGGACTCGGGGACCATCTAGGGGCAAACACGGCACGCTCCTGAGTCACAGGGCCCGCTGTCCACAGAAGCCAAGAGGTGCCAACACCCCAAGTGTTCACAAATGTATGAGCAGACAGACACACAGCATGTCCACCGCGCACGTGCATGTCCCTCGGCCGCGAGCAGGAGCGAGGCGCCCACACCCGCCGCCCCGCGGACGGACCCTGAACACACGACGCTCAGGGAGGGAACCAGACACGGGAGGCCACACGGGTGTGAGTCCGCGTGCGTGAAACGTCCAGAACAGGCTCCTCCACGGACGGGAAGGGGGCTCGTGGAGGGTGGGTGGGGGGTGATGGCTCACGGAGACAGGACATGGAATGTTCTGGAACTAGAAAAAGGTGATGGGTCTTCAACCCTTTAAAGATACCAGGAACGCTGAAACAAGCGAACAAGCTGTCTGAATCACCAAACGTCTCCCTACGAAGTTGTTAGAAGATGACAGGCCGTGGCTGGCTGTGGTCCGCAGACCACGGACATAAGTGTCCCCCAGCCGGCCAGGAGAAAGGAGCCCAGACACCAGGCACAGAGTGGGTGCAGGTCCCGAAGGCAGGAGCCAGCTCTGAGCCCCCAGCGCTCCAAGGCCCCCGGAGAGACGCAGGCCGCCCCGCACCCCACTTACCGGAAGGCCTTGTACGCAGGCCGGAACCAGCACACGTAGCCACAGGGGGAGAAGAGCAGCAGCCAGAGCAGGGCCAGGCCAAAGTTGGCTCCCGAGCCGCCGCCGATCCACCAGGCCAGGCAGGCGATGAGGTTGACCCCCAGGGTGGCGCAGTAGACTGGGGGAGGGGCGAAGAGGGTGAGCCAGGCCCCTCCCACCCACCGGGAGAGCTGGGCTGTGGCTCTGCTGAGCAAGGGGCCCAGGGGCGTTATTTGTCGACAAAGACTAGATTTATCCCTGAAACCTCCAGAGGTGAGAGCCTGGCAAACTCTGGTCCAGAAGGTGCAGGGGGTGGGGTTTCCCGGTGCCCGCCCAGCCCTGCCCCTGCCGCCCCGACCCCACCCACCCCATCCCTGGCCCCACCCCTGCCCTGCCACTCACACAGCCACAGCTGGTAGATCCTCTTCACCAGAAGCTGGTGTTCGATGGGTATCTCGTCGGAGAAGTTCTGGTAGAAGCAGGGCTTCAGAGGGAGGAACTTGGGCAGCGGCGGGAAATTGTTCTCCTTCCCTGCAAGGACAGAAACCACCACGGAACAAAACCAGGTTAGAGAGCGCAGTGACAGCCCCAAACGCGTCCCTGTCCCCGGCCGGACCCTCAGAACCTGTGGACATGTCGCCTCACGCGGCACAGAGGACCTTGTCAAGGCCCCTGAGGTGGCCACCGCAGGCCAGCGTCCTCGCGGGGTCCTCACGAGAGGGGGGCAGAGAGGCGGGCGGACGCCGCGCTGGGGCCGAGAGGATGGAGGAGGGGCTGCGGGCCGAGGATGCGGCGCCTCTGGAAGCCGGAAAAGGGGGGAGACGGGGCTCCCTGGGGCGGGAGGGGGAATCGGCCCGGCCCAGCCCTGGGCGCTAGGACTTGAGCGCATAAACGTGGTTTAGATCACCACGCTGCGATGACTTCTCGGAGCAGCCACAGAAGACACGCAGACTCAGTGGCAGAACCCAAATGCTGGTGACACCTGACTCTAAGGAAGGTTCTGGCATTCTGAGTGTCTGAGCTTCCTTGGAAAGCTCTAAGAAATGAGCCCAAACCAGGAGATTTCAACTATAGGGATTTATTCTTTTCTAGTCCTGGAGCCAAGTCTGGGGTCAAGGTGTCAACGACACATCACCGCGTGGCAGGACACCTCTCGAGAGGACCTGGGAAGGCCAGACCTCGAACAAAACAGAGAGGACCCCTGACCTCAAGGGGCTGCACCCCTCGCCAGGGGAGCCCGACAGTCATCGTCAGGAGTGGGTGGCACTGGGGCACACTAGAAGACGCACCGGCAGGTGCGGGCCACCAGGGATGAGCTGGGCGCTGGCCAGCGAGGTTCAAGAACGGCGCCAGGGTAGGCCTCGCTCGAAAAGGTAGTATTGGAACCAAGACTCCAGAAAGCAAAGGGGAGAGACCGCTGGGTTCTGGCCCATGCAAAGGCCCCGGGGTGAGTGCCAGGTGCTCTAGATGCAGCGGGGAGACCGGGGCCAGAGGGGAGGCCAGGGAGATGCAGGCCACGCCTTGCTGGCCAGAGAAGCCTCAGGCATTTACCAGGGGACACAGGAGCTACGGAGCGTGCCAAGCTGAGCACGGCAGGGGCTGGACCCCGTCCCGAGCTTGCTGGCTCTGAGCCTCTGTGACAAGACACGGGAGAAGGGCCTCCCCGGCATGGCCTCTTGCCACGGTCACAGGTCACAACCCTTCACGGCTCCTGCCCAAGGCCCCAGCAAGTAGCCCACCTGGCCCCTGCCCCACTGCTCTCCCCTGCGACGTGTGACCCCCTCCTTCCCCCCCCCCTGCTGCCCTCAGAGAGGACGGGGCGACGCCCCAGGGCTCAGGCTGCCAGCACACCGTGACGAGGAGGTATAAGAACAACAGGCAAATCACACGCCCGTGAAACCCTGTCTTCCTGGCAGATTGAAAGCCCCGGGGGAACGTTGTGCACAGACGTGGGGCTCAGGGCCTGGGTTCGGGTCCCAGCAGACCAGCACCAAGCACCAGCTGACCCCAGGCATCCGGTGCCCCACCCACCCTACGTGAGCAGGGGGGCAGATGCGGGGACCGCGGGGTGACCATGCGGGAAGGGAGTGCACTTGTGGCGCCTGCCGTGGCCTCGGGGCCCCACCTCACTCCACCTGCACACCCCACCCCTCCTCCTGAGCCAAACGGGGTGGGCAAACCTGTGAGTGAGGGTGTCACCTTTCGCACATAGCTATGAACCCAGATGTAGAAACCTCACCCCTGTGCTGATGTGAAGAACAGAACGGGCCCCAAGGCAGAAGGCGCGGCCAGGCCAGCAACTCCTGCGGAAACCGGCCTCTCGCTCTCATCTGGCTCAGAGCTAGGAGGTGACCCTGACACCCGTCGTTGGAGGAGGGGAGTGGGGGTGCACCCACCCCCCAGTGGGGGCGTTACAGTGGGTCCGGCCCCCAGGGGACACTTCCCAGGGGAATAGATGGGCCACAGCCCCGGCCACAGGGCCAGACTCACCAGACATTTCCGCTGTGACAACCGGCGGGGCAGAAGCCTACAGCCACCTGGAGGGGAGACAGCCACAGTCAGCGGGTCCCCCAGGCCGCTGGGGCCCCCACACCAGCAGTGTGCTCAGCAGCATCCCAGGTGAGGTCCTGACCTCCAGGCCATCCTGGGGGTGTCTGCGCTCTGGTCCCAAAGGCCAGCCCCAAACTGACAGGCTGGCCTCACTGGCCGCCGGCAGGAGAGGGATCAGGTCGTACACCGTGTTCCTGGGACCCCTCCCCCCACCCCCACCGCCCTCCCAATCCCCCACCTCCCGGCTTTCTCTTTAGCCACAGCTGGCTCCGAGAACCTTCCTGAGGCCACTGAGCCCAACTTGTGAGTCACTGAGAATTGGGTCCACGCCCACTGCCGTGTGACAACATGCACGTCACACAACCTCTCTGGCCCGTGGTTTTCGCCCCTGCAAGCTTCGCAGAGCCCAGGATCCCATCACGACCTGAGCCAAGCACGTGGCACCCCAGCGGCACCCCCTGCGTGGAGCCACGTGAGCCGGTGTCACAGAGTAGCCACACGCACTGCCCTGCCACCAACACGCACACCTGAAGAGAGCGTACCGGTCCCCGAGGGCCTGCGGGTGGGCACTGCCATCACCCGGAAACAAGCCACAAGATGGCCGTGCCCGGCACCCACTGGGGCCTCGTGGCACAACTGGTCCGGCGCGGGTGCGGGAACCGAACCTGCAGGCAGGCGAGGAGACGGGAACCTACGACGCTCTCCTCACACACGGCCCAGGTGAGAACGTTCCAGTGACACGGAGTTTCCTGGGCCCACATCCCTCCCGCCCACACGCCCAGGGGCTCGCGGCCCCACCCCACCGCCCGTATGCTGCACTAGTTCGGGGGCAGAGCCCCTGCCCTGACCCCGTGGGCTGGGACGGGCTAGGAGCCAACCCCAGGGCTCAAGGGCAGGCTCGGAGCAGGGACGAGCCGGGCCCCCCGGGGGCGCCGGGATCCAATCTTGCACCGTTGCTGGACGGACACGCGGTGTTCCCAGCGCTGACTGCTCTACAACAGACCCGGGTCACCCCCTCTGGCCAGCGGTGAAGGACAGGACGCAGGACGACCAGAAGGAGCCTTCGGGTGGGGTGAGTCCCGGCCTACAGGCTACACCCTAGGATAAATACACCCCGGCCGCCCCGCCCCCCCGGCCGGCCACACCCTTCCAGACCTAGGACTCGGGCAGAGGCCACGCTCCCAGGGCCATGCTCCCGCCCCACTTGGCTCAGAAGCTCCCCTTCCCCTGTACAAACCCCAAACTCCGGACACAGTCACTCCGACCCAGGTCCCCTCAGCCACCACAGCCCCACGCCTCTGTCAACAGACACCGACCTGGTTTGGGGGTGTTTATTTTCACACGTAGAGCCGCTTTGTGACACCTGAGACACAGGGGACACCGTCCCAGTGGACGCCTGGGGCAAAGGGCAGCTGGAGGAAGGCAGGCCGAGTGCGCAGCTCCCGGGCCCAGGCTGGACCCCCACGGAGCCCAAGCCCAGGGAAGAGCTGTTGGGCACGGACGCGCCCCACAGCCTGGTGGGGACGGCGCGGGGTCTGGCTCCTGGGCGGGAGACGCGAACGTCCCTAAAGCTGAGCGGCAGGATCACGGCCCCTGGGACGACGAGACACGCCCGGCGGGAGGCTGAGAGACGCCTGTAGCAGAGCCCAGTCCGGGGGCGGGCGGGCACGGCCGCCTACGTGCCGGGGTGCAGCCGGCGGCACTGGGCCTCCAGAACCCCCCGGAACACCTGGAAGCGGTGGTTGAGGTCCGGCCGGGCGTGGATGCGGAAGCGGGTGCCCAGGGCGCCGTCGGGCGAGGGCGCCCCGTAGAAGACGCGCTGCATGCGGGAGTGGACCAAGGCCATGGCGCACATGGCACAGGGCTCGCGGGTGACGTAGAGGTCGTAGCCGGTGCACACGTAGGGCAGGCCGTCCCCGTGCGCGTCCCCGTCCTCCTCCAGCTTGCGCACGGAGCCCGCGCGGACACCTGGGGGGGCGGCGGCCGGGGCGAAGGAGCAGGCAGGGTAGGGGCGGAGGTCGTAGGCACCGCGGCCCTGGCCCTGGGCCACCAGATCGATGCAGACCATGGCGGCGTGCAGCAGGGGGCTGGCCGCGCTGCTGCAGTCATGGCCCGTGGCCAGCACGCGGCCCGAGGCGGGGTCCACCACCACCGCGCCCACCGGCCTCAGGCCCCTGGCGGCTGCCTGCTGCGCGGCCCACACAGCGCGCTCCATGTGGTCCTGCATCGCCGCACGCTCCTGCGTTGAGAAGAGCCGCCCGGCCAGGGCACGGGTCACCTGCCGATCCTCGTGGAAGGACGTGGGCCAGTGGGCACGCGCCTCCTCGAACTGGCCTCTGGTCAGGGGCGGCCGGGCCGGCACGGGCACCAGGAAGGGCTGTCCCAGGCCGCGAGGGTCCACGGCCGGGTGCGGGAGGAGCTCGGCGAGCGACCTGGACCCCGGGGCCGGCCCGGCCAGGCACAGCAGCATCTCCAGCGCGTGCGGGCGGCTGGCGTCGCGGCTGGGCCGCACCCTCTTGAGGTGAGGCTGGGCGGGCAGCGGGTGCAGGGCCGACACCTCCTTGAGGAGGCGGGAGGTCTGGCGCTTGTCGAGGACGGGCGCGGCGTAGGCCAGCACGAGCTCCACGCCCTGGGACTGCTGCTCGGACAGCACCGGGAGGACTTGCCACGGCGCGGGCGCCGACTGAGGGCTCACGGCCTCCTCGTCTCCACGCTGCTCCGCGAGGCTCGGGGCGAGGTCCATCCTCCGCGGGGTTCCGACTGTGGGAGACAGAGATGGGGGCAGGGCACCGTCCGTCAGCCCCTGGCGTCGTCTCGGGTCCCCGGAGCGAGCGGGATCCAAAGTCTGGGGGCTCCGCCCCCACGAGACGCGCCACCAGCCTCGCTCTCCCTCAGGTCCTCCTAACGCTTGGCCTGCAGAGCTTAAGCCATCGCTGGCAGCCTTGTCTCCCTCCGCGAGGTGCCGGGGACACGCGCACGGGATCTGGAGACGCAGTGACCGTGACCGCTCTCGTCAACCGTCTTCATGCGGACTGCGTGCTCAGGTGCTAGTGCTCCGTGACTTTTTACAATGACCTTCACCTGTTTCTTTGTGCGCTTTTTTGGAGACACAACTTCTAAAACACTCAGCGGTGCGTGTGCACCCCGCATCACGACCCCTGCTGGTCGGGGCCGCCTCGGGTTGCGTCAGAGCTAAAGCACTGGTTGTCTGGATGAGGTTCCGCGGCATCGAAGGCGCCACCGTGCACCCGAACACACCGCCCCCCGCCCCTTCCCTGGGGACAGGGAGGTGCTGGAGTCACCTCTCAGCTGTGCGCTTTCACCTTTCCTGATGTGCCTCAGCCGCGTGGACCCCACTCAAGGAGGGCACAGGACACCCTCGCCCGCCGCGGAACGTCCGGAGCTCACAATACAAATTTGACCAATGAACAGAATTGGGGACCACGAGAGGCGGAGCGCAGGGAGGGGCCCCGCGTGCGCCCCCAGTACTGTGGCCGGCAGGGCCCACGGCACCGACCGGGCACACGCCACGCCCAGGACCCCACGGCCCGCACCGGCCACTAAGCTCCCACAGGCTCCACGGCAAAATGCAGTCTCACCTGCCCCTCCAGAAGCACAGCCTCTGAGTAAAACGGGCAACAGGGACGCCGCCAGCTGGGGTCCCAGCTCCGAGGCAGGAGGGGGAACTCGCGGGACAGTCACCGCGCGAGCCAGCAACCGCTCCTCCACGCCCCGGCATGTGCCTGGAGGGCTGAGCACACACGCCCTCAAAGAACCCTGCACACGTGTGCTCACGGCAGCCAGACGGCGGATACAGCACAAGCGCCCTTCAAGGGACGAATGGGGACACACACACACACACACACACACACACACGTCCACCGCGCACACGCACGTCCCTCGGCCGCAAGCACGAGCGAGGCGCCCCACCCACCGCCCCACGGACGGACCCCGAACACACGACGCTCAGGGAGGGAACCAGACACGAGAGGCCACACGTGTGTTGAATCCACGTGCATGACGCGTCCAGAACAGGCTCCTCCACGGGCGGGAGGGGGCTCGTGGGGGCCGGGGAGGGGATGGAGGGGTGACTGCTGATGGGGATGGGGCTTCTTTTGTGGGAGGAGTGGAGATTTCTGCAGTAAGACAGGGAGGGCAGCTCGGCGCCCCTGCGAAGCTACCAAAAGCCACTGAGCCGTACAGCTTCCGCGGGTGCCGCAGGGCAGGCTGCTGGAGGAGGCAGCGGGGGAGGGGGGGGCAGGCCAGCAGGCTCCCTGCGAGGCTCGGCCCCTGCTGCGGTCCCTACATGCCTCCCAGTGACCCAGGAGGGAGCTCCTGGAACTGTCCCCGTTCTACAGGACAAAGATGAGGCTCTGCGAGGTGTACGGACTTGTCTGGGGCCACGAGGCAGGGAGGGCAGAGCCGCGATCTCACCAGGCGGGCATTCAGACGGCTCACCGCCTCTGCCCGCCGAGCCCCTCCCACTGATACAGACATAAGCAGCTTCAGGAGACAGTGACCCGCCTGGGCCCCCAACCCCAACATGAGGGGAGTGCAGCCCGGCTGCAAGCAGTGATCCCGCACAAGTGTTGCGTACACACACGTCCTGGCATCTGGAGCTGGCTGGGGGCGGCTGCTGGACCCGGCTCCTCCTGTCCCCAAAGCGCCAGGCACCTGGCTCCCGCCACCGCCACACACTCTGCTGGTCTGGCCCAGCTCAGTCCCCACCCTGGCATCTCCAGGGACAGCCGTGGCCGGCCCAGAACCGCCTGCTCACACTCCTGGCTGTAGGGCCTCTGCCTGTACCGTGGAAGTCCAGGGCCCAGGAGGGAGGCCCTGGGAGGGTGACAGGAACCTGCATTCATACACACAGTAAGACGAAGGCTTGAGGCCTCCGCCTGTCCCTGGATGACGAAGAAAGGACAGAGCCTGGACCTGGGTGTTGCATCCTGCCCTGTCCTAGAGGCTCACACCCAGCCCAGCAGTTCCCTGCCTGAGACCTTGGGCACCTGCCCTAGAACCCGGCCTCAGCGGCCCCCTCTGAGAAATGGGAATCCATCAGCACCTCGCAGGGCTGTCTGAGAAAAGCTACACGAGCCCCACGCTGTCCCAGAGTACAGTTCCCAGGGAGCCCAGGGCTGTGGTGGGCAGTCCAGGAGGGCTCCTCGGAAGCGGTGACCTCAGCTGGGCCCAGAAGGCAGGGGAAGCAGGGTGGGGAGTCCTGAGCTGAAGGAACAGCCAGCTAGAGCCTCACACACGCCCACAGGGCGGTAGCTGCTGCATCGCAACGCAGTTTCCAAGGCTTGGCTGCCATCTGCATCCCTAACGGGCCCGGCCGCTAAATTCGAACTCGGGACAAGCGCAGGGCGTGTGAGCGCGGTGGTGTCCACGCAAGCTCCGGGGCTCATCGCTCGCCGTGTACACGCAAACCTAACTTCCCGGGGTGTCCTGCGCTTCACCCGCCCAAGCCGGGCCCTACAAATGGCCCCTCCGTGCGTGACAGTGGCGAACGCCGGGCATGTGGGGTGTGGGAGGCGACCCCTTATCAGCGGGGACAGAATAAGAGAAGGCCTCGAAAACCCACACTTTCAGTAACTATCAAGAAAATTTAATGTTTGCCAGCGTTTACCGACGTTTAAGAAACAGGCAGGCTGCTGGCGGGAAGCTAGTGAAAGGGCGGCCCAGAGGCAGGGGACTGGCCGCGATGACCCCAAACACGCGCGCGCGGCGGGGGCGGGAGGAGCAGCTGGCCGTACGGGGTCTCCACCCCCGGCCGCAGGGGCGCGCACGCGCAAAGGGTTGCCGGGCGCGGGGAGCGGCGTCCCGCGGCCCGGCCGCCCCACGCGCACGCGTATACGAGCCGACGCCCCCGGCTGCCTCCTCGCGCCCTGCGCGGCCCGCGCCCCCACACCAGCCGAGGCTCTCCTTCGCCGCCCCGGCTCGCCGTCCGTGGGAGCCGGCGCCGCGAGAACCAAGCCCCCAGTCCGCGCGCTTACCTGAAGAGCCGCACGCAAGCGCTGCGCCTCACAAGTCTTAGCAACCGACCGCCGGCCCCGCCTCCGCCGCGGGGCACGACGGGAGCGTAGTTCCAGGGGCGGGGTTGGCGCGGAACCGGGGCGGGGTCGGGACTACAATCCCCACAAGGCTGCGCGCCGGGCCTCGGAGCGCCGCCCTTGTCTCGAGCTCCGCTCTCGTGACCCGCCGGAGCGCGGCTGAGTGCGGAGCTGAGGGTTCAAGACCCCCTGCGGGCCGCCGGTGGGGGGCGGGAACCTGGCTGCTGTTTCGGGAGTCAGAGTTGGGAGACTGAGGCAGAGGGGCATACGCCGCAGCGGTCCCCCCGCCCAATTTGCTGCCGCCACGTGGCTCCAGAGGGGCTGTCCCCAGAGACCCGGATGGGTGGGTCAGGTTCCCGTCAGGGTCTAGGACTTGGCGATGCTTGGCCTCAGTTTTCCCATGTGTGCAATAGGTGAGGGGGACCTCTTGACTCGTCTAGGGGCAAAACGTGCTAATTTTATGAGCAACTCCGGCTATTCATTCTAGTTAAACAAATTTAACCCAGCGGTTCTCACCCGGGGGCAATGGGACATTGGCCAATGCCTGGGACATTTGTCGTTGTTGCAACTGGGAGGGTGCACTTGTCATCAAATGGCATCAAAACCGGAGGCCAGGGATGCCCCTCAACACCTGCGGTGCACAGGCGCCCCCCCAACACAAGCAACCCCAAATGTCCACAGGGCAGAGGCTGGACGACCCTGATTAACCCCTTGCTGAGTAAGAAGAAAAATTCAGATCTAAAGCGCTCTGGGGCGTGGGGAGGAATTCTTTTTCTGGACGCTTCCTTCCTGCGAGAACCAAGGAATTCCCCGGGAAGATCTGTCATGTCTGTCCCGGAGGGGTGCAGGGGGCGGCTGCAGGAGGACCCTGGCTGCCACCTCGTCCCTCAACCCTGCGGGACCCCGAGAATCCATCCGCAGGTGTTTCTCTTGGTTTGCAAAGCACCGCCCGATGGCCGCGTTTATTCTGGTAAAACCGCATCCCAGGAAGCACTGTTGCCCACAGCTGGTCACTTTCCTTCTCTTACAAATAAAAACTCAGATTAATATGGGTTTAGTGTTTGAGGTTTTTTATGGGGTTTTTTTGGTAATTTTTTAATGTTTATTCGTTTTTGAGAGAGGGACAGAGTGTGAACGGAAGGGGGGCAGACAGAGAGGGAGGCACAGAATCCCAAGCAGCTCCAGGCTCTGAGCTGTCAGCACAGAACCTGACAGGGGTCTCGAACCCACGAATGGTGAGATCAGGTGAGATCAAGACCTGAGCCGAGGTGAGACCCTTAACCTAACGGACTGAGCCACGCAGGCGCCCCCTGTTTCTTGTTGGTTTGTTTGTTTCACAGATCACCACCCCTGGAGGTGCACTCCAGCTAGCCTGGGCCTGTTGTGCTGACTACTTTTTAAAGTTTTCTTGGTGTTTGACTGGCATGTTAAAAGCAAAGACTAGATTTTCTGTATGTAAAAAATGAAACTCCTCAATGTATTTTTCTGCCTATTTTTTTTTTTATTATTTAAAAAAAAAATTAAGGGGGGGCGCCTGGGTGGCTCAGTCAGTTAAGCGGCTGACTCCAGCTCAGGTCATTATCTCACCGTTCGTGGGTGCGAGCCCGGTGTCAGGCTCTGTGCTGACTATTCAGAGCCTGGAGCCTGCTTCAGATTCTGCGTCTCTCTCTGTCTCTACCCCTCTACCCCCTCTCTCAAAAATCAATAAACATTTAAAGAAATAAATTTAAAAAAATAAAAGGGACATGGGCTCGGGGAGGGGCAGTGGGGAGCGGCTGCAAATGGGTCGGGGAATCTCCTTCTGGGGTGATGAAAATGTTCAGTGACGAGGTAAGAGTTGATGCCTCTGCACACAGTGTGCATGTGCGCTCCACACCGCTGAACGGTACCCTCTAAAACAGTTTACTTTTTTTTAATGTTTTTATTTATTTCTGAAAGAGAGACAGCATGAGCAGGGGAGGGGCAGAGAGAGAGGGAGACACAGAATCTGAAACAGGCTCCGAGCTAGCTGTCAGCACAGAGCCCCAAGCCCAGGTGCCCGAAGCCTTGGGACTTTGAAACACGGGAGTTCTTCTCACAGAGCTGTAGGGTTAAACCTGGATTTTCCAGGACTAGTTTTTACCACCCAACAGTGGAGCTTGTCTGAGAATTAGACCAGAACAGAAGAAAGCAGGTCCCGAAGAGAAAGAGAGGTCCATGCCTTGATAACATTGTTTAAACATGGGGCTCCTGGGTGGCTCAGTCGACTGAGACTTCGGCTCTGGTCATGATCTCACAGTTCGTGGGTTCGAACCCCGCGTCGGGCTCTGTGCTGACAGCTCAGAGCCTGGAGCTGCTTCAGATTCTGTGTCTCCCTCTATCTCTGACCCTCCACTGTTCATGCTCTCTCTCTCAGAAATAAATAAAAACATTAAAAAAATTTATTTTTTTTAAATTTTTTTTTAATGTTTTATTTATTGGGGGAGAGAGAGAGAGAGACAGCGTGAGCAGGGGAGGGTCAGAGAGAGAGGGAGTCACAGACTGAAACAGGCTCCAGGCTCTGAGCTGGCAGTCAGCACAGAGCCCGACGCGGGGCTCGAACCCACGAACGGGGAGATCATGACCTAAGCGAAAGTCGGACGCTTAACCAACTAAGCCACCCAGGTGCCCCTAAAAAAAATTTAAAACCAAAAACATTGTTTAAACACCTGGATCCCGCCATGCCTGAGTCAGGAGGGCCTTGGGCTTTCCTGCGTTGTTAGGTTTGGTGTGGCGTGTTTTTTTTACGACTTAAGCTAATGTGAGTCATGATTTCAGTCCCTTATAAACCAAGAGCTTCAATTAATAGGGTCCCGTTTTGATCTTGCTACCATTTAGCCTTTTCACAAGTCACATGTTCCCCAAAACTCACGGTGACAGATTAGTGTCCGGAACCAAAAAGTTGGGACATCCTTGGCGTCGGTTCCCCGACTGGAGGCTGAATGGCAACAGAGAAGGTCCTGGAGTGTCGGGAGCCTGGGTCCGGGGCTGGCAGGCTGGACGGCCAGAAGCGCTTCCATACCCGCAAGGCAGGCAACAAGGGTCGGCAGGGGAGGGGCTTCCCCACAATCCTCCCCCTGTGTCTGCACCCCGAGTTGTGTGGCTCACCACCCTGGGGGGCTCTGGGTGGCTGTATGCGCCAGGTGTCTCCCACGCTGTGGGGACCTCAGACCAGGCTCTTCCTGGAAATGTGGGGGGCGGGGGTGGGTGGATTTCCCTGCCCCCCTCAAGGCAGATTCAAGCCACTGGAAACCCGCAAGGAGGGAAAGTCGCTGCGTCCAGCCTCCTGAAGGTTGGAGGGCATTTTACCGCCCCCAGCAGGTCTCTCAACAAACGAGCCCCTGCTCACCTCGCCGGATTGCAAGAGCACGCACGCACGCGCGCACACACACACACACACACACACCCGTGACGCACGCGCGCACACGACTCATCACTCGCCAGCCATCGGTCCCCTCCCCCGGGGCCAGAAAACACCCACTTCTGAAAAACAAACTGAATTGTCCTAACGTTCTAGCACCCAACCTCTTTGCTCACATCTCTTTAACCCTTACTTTGCACAGAATTATATCCCCACCCAGTCCTCTGCTTTCCCAGGCCCCTAGGCTGAGACTAACAGTGACAGGAATGATTCATATTTCCTTAGTGCGAGTCTGCAACCAGACACCGTTCTAAGCACTTGACATCAGGGCATTTACTCCTCACATCAATTCGACACAGCAGGTGGTGGGTATCCTCGTTTTAAAGAAGAGAAAACATGGAGCAGCTGGGTGGGTCAGTCGGCCAAGTGTGAGAGCTTGGAGCCTGCTTGGGATGCTGTGTCTCCCTCTCTCTGCCCCTCCCCTCTTTGTGTTCACTCTCTCCCTCAAAATAAATAAATAAACTTAAAAAAAAAAAAAAGGATCGAAGTCATTAACCCATCTTAAAAAAATTTTTTTAAAGTAAAGAGGAGGGGCGCCTGGGGGGCTCAGTCAGTTAAGCGTCTGACTTCGGCTCAGGTCATGATCTCACAGTTCGTGGGTTCAAGCCCCGCGTCGGGCTCTGTGCTGACAGCTCACAGGCTGGAGCCTGCTTTGGGTTCTGTGTCTCCTTCTCTCTCTGACCCTCCCCTGCTCATGCAGTCTCTCTCTCTCTCTCTCTCTCAGAAATAAATAAAACATAAAAAAAAAAAAGGTAAAGAGGAGAAAGCAAAGATTCAGCACCCTGACCAGCCACCTGTCTTCCATTGCGTCCACCGTGCTTTGGATTATTTTCCACCGAGGACTGGCTTATGTGCGGGTGGTCCCCACGAACACCCCAAGGCAGGGTTTGCTTCTGTCCAGGTGTCCATGGTGCCTCCAGTATAGCCAAAAAACAGGGCCTGGCCCCGGTAGGGGGACCACAAACGTTTGTCCCTGAGAGCCACAGCCTTGGGATGAGCCCTTCTTGCGTCACGAGGCTGGGAATGCACCCCAGGGGACACACAGCTCCAGCTGACTCTCCCTGGAGAGTGGGACCATGGTATCGGGAGAAGCCCCATCTCAAGGAATCCTTATTCTCTCCTGACCTACCCTTCTAGTGTATTCTCTTCCCAGCACCTGTACTTACCTCATTCATCTAGAACGTCTGCTCCACCAGAGCTGAAAATTTTGTTCACTGTGGTATCCGCACTTTGTGGCCCAGACCTAGTGGTCACCATAGGTGACAGACAATGTTAGTGTTATCATTTTAACAAGGCAGATAGGGGGCACCTGGGTGGCTCAGTGAGTTGAGCACCTGATGTCAGCTCAGGTCATGGCCTCGTGGTTTGTGAGTTCAAGCCCCACATCCGGCTCTGTGCCGGCAGCTCAGAGCCCACTTCAGATCCTCTGTCCCCTTCTTCTGCTCCTCTCCCACTTGTGCTCTCCCAAAAAATAAGTATTTAAAAAAGAAACACAAGACAGACAGCCTCCCTCACACATCCCCTAAGGCCCTTTTGCAGCCTCCCCAACTGCTAAGAAT